CCGGTTGCTTCAGGGCCCTTTCCCTGCAGGATGGCGAGGTGATCGGGGTGAACACTATGAAGGTGACGTCGGGCATCTCTTTTGCCATCCCCTCAGACCGTCTGCGGAAGTTTCTGCAAAAGGAGGAACAGCGCAAAAGTGAGTTGGGTCCTTCCCTGCTCAGGCACTGGGGGAAGGAGGGCGGAAGGAAGCTGAAAGAGGGAAGCACCTTCTTGGACCTTTTTTATTTTCTGAGAGAGAAAGACAAGCACAGCCGGAGGAAGACTTGGGGGGTCAGAAGTGTCTCCTCTCCAGCATGAAACGGTGGGCACCTTGCTGCCGGTGGAAGCTGTGCTTTTGCTTCCTTGCCCACAGACGCCTGATCTGCATCTGCTGCACACAAAGGCTTCTCAATTGAAGCCCTAAGTAATTTATGCTCACGTCCCCAGAAAGTATTTGGTGTCTTTCTTGATGTAGAATCTTCCTATCTGTTTGTTTCTCCTGTTGACCCTGAGGAGTGATAATCTGAGTTGAAAAATAACACAAACGAGGAAAGCAAAATAACCCAGCATTATACAGTAGTAATAATGCTCTAGCTGATACATCGAACTTAAATAAACTATTAGTGGGTATTTTAGTGAATCTCTCGGCCGGTATCTATTAGAGTGGGGGCTCGGATTGCCTGGCTTGGCCCAGTGCAGAACCATCTTTTCAGCCTTGTCTTTTGACGTGCTTTCCTTCAACAGGCTCTTGGTTTGGCAATGCAGAGGCAAAGCGCCGTTACATAGGGGTGATGATGTTGACTCTTACACCAAGGTAAGTTCTGAGACGTGGGGTCAGCGGGCTGGTCCCTCTGTGACATGGTGGCTGTGGGATGGGGTCTCTAAAACGCCTGGGTTTGTGTGTTTAGGCAAGGATTGTCCTCACACCTTAAACATGCACATTCTGCAGTGTTTTTGTGCCCGGTTTGTGTTCAGACTGTAGTCTAAATTAGAAGCTTACAAATTTCTATAGTCTGTCAGAATCTGTGAACTGATAAAAGCCCCTGGATCCACCACACAAAATGCTGCATCAGTGTGTCATGCTTGCTGGGAAGAGCTCAGTGGAACACTTGAAACGTGTCCCTGGGAGGGAATTGCTGCAGGAGCCGCAGCCCCCTAGGTGAGGGGAATGTGTTTGGGGAGTGCCAGACCCGCACCCTGAGCTCTGAGCAATTCTGCTTTTCAAAGGCAGGTGTCTGCTCTGGCTAGGGGCTCTTACTGTTGTCTTTGAAGAGATCTGTAGCTGTCCTCGGGCCTCAGCATGGCCGTGGTGCTGCTGGTAGCACCTGCTTGGCAGACACGTCCCTCAGGGCGGTGCTGCTCCCCTGATGGGCTCCAGTGTATCGGCCCACGGGCCTGGGCCCCGCGCCGCCCTGGCCGGGAGCCCCACGGGATGGCGGAGCCGGAGATGCCCCGTTCCCCTGGGGAGGGTGGCAGCGCTGCCAGTGTCACTGCTGTGCCCTGTAGATGGTGCTGGCACTCGGCAAAAGCTGATGGGCCCTGCAGGGAGCGAGAGCCCGACCTCCTCACCCTGCCCTGGGCAAGGGCGCAGGAAGCAGCTCGTCAGGGAAGGAGCGTGAAATGCTTGGGACGTGGCCTGGAAAGGGGATTCGGCCTCGGCGCAGCCAGCAAGCAGCTTGGCAGCCGGTGTTGAGAAGAATGAGTCACTGAAAAGCTGGAAACCAGCAGATAGAGAGCCTTGCCCTTGGTCTGTAAGCACTGTGATCACTGCTTCTTCTGTGCCCAGTCCCTGGGAAGCTGGTTTGTGAGGGATTGCTAGCCTTGGAGCTCAGCAATGGCTCCAGCTCCGCTTGCTCTTGTGAGAGGCCCTGAACGTGCCCCAGTACAGGAGCAAGAGGGAGGCCTGTCCTGGGCCCGAGTTTCTCGGTGCTGGTCCCTCTGCCTGGGTCGTGTCTCGCAGGCAGGAGCTTCCCAGGACACGGAGCTTCTCCTGGTGCAGAGAGCTCCGCAGCCCAGAGGGAGCGGAGGTGCTTCCATGGCCCTGGGCCCCCCTCAGGCATGGGAAGAGACCCTGCTTGGCTAGCAGAGCCCTCTGCAGTCATTGAGACTGCCACCAACCCGGGAGGCACCGTGTGCCTGTTGCTTGTGCAGAGCTCAAAACAGCAACTAGAAAAGATGTGCAGAAGAAAAATCTGCTGCTACCTCAAATACAAAGAGACCGAGTAACAGCTCAGATCCTTGTTGAGCCTCTCGGACACTTATCTGGGGAGTTACAATATCCGAGGTGGGATGCTGGGGTGGGTGGACGCCTGGTCTGACTGG